CTCGCGCCTCGCGTTGGGCCGCCCGCCTCGGCGGCCTATGCCCTCGCTCAGTATGCGGACCTTCGGCTTGATGGACGCGCGCGCGTGGGCGCCAGCTTCGCGCGCAGCCGCCCCAGGCGCGCGCGCGTGCTTGACCTCGTCGACTTGCCCCCCTTCGCTCGGGCGGGCGGCCGCGCGACGCTTCGCGGAGACGGGCAAGCGTCGCGGGCGCTCGCGCCTCTCTGCCGCGCGAGCGATCGGCGCGAGCCCCCCCCCCCCCCCCCAGCCCCCCGTCAGCCCCGCGAGCCCCGCCCGCCCCTGCCCAGGGCAGGAGCTAGCAAGACCAACGAGCGGGGCTGGGCCCCCTCCCCGCGCGAGCTACGTCTTTTTTCCCAACCCTCCTGCGTTGGGTTCTCGTTTTGAATAGAGCACTGCTCGCGCGTCTCCTTGCCTCCTTCCCCCCCCTCTCTTCCCCCTTGCCTTTTGCCTCGCTGGGGGGGCTGCGCCAGCTGCGTGCCAGCTGGGGGGCTGCGATCTGCGAAACTGTCGCCACTTTCGAGGCCTGCTGGAGGGCCCAGCACAGCGGGCACTCACCGCAAACCTAAATTAAACCTCGCCATCCCTGGGGGGCTGCGATCTGCGAAACTGTCGCCACTTTCGAAGGCTGCTGGAGGGCCCAGCACAGTGGGTACTCACCGCAAACCTACATTAGACCTCGCCATCCCTGGGGGGCTGCGATCTGTGAAACTGTCGCCACTTTCCAGGCCTGCTGGGGGGCCCAGCACAGTGGGCACTCACCGCAAACCTAAATTAGACCTCGCCATCCCTGGGGGGCTGCGATCTGTGAAACTGTCGCCGCTTTCGAGGCCTGCTGGGGGGCCCAGCACAATGGGTACTCACCGCAAACCTACATTAGACCTCGCCATCCCTGGGGGGCTGCGATCTGTGAAACTGTCGCCACTTTCGAAGCCTGCTGGGGAGCCCAGCACAGTGGGTACTCACCGCAAACCTAAATTAGACATCGCCATCCCTGGGGGGCTGCGATCTGTGAAACTGTCGCCACTTTCGAAAGCTGCTGGGGGCCCCAGCACAATGAATACTCACCGCAAACCTACATTAGACCTCGCCATCTCTGGGGGGCTGCGATCTGTGAAACTGCCGCCACTTTCGAGGGCTGCTGGGGGGCCCAGCACAGTCTCACTGGCGCTTAGCAAGTGGCCTGGTGGTCTGCCACAGCCAGCGGACGAGAGACAGCCGACAACGTAAGACGAGCGGTGCGAAAGTTGCTCCGGGAAGCATGACAGAGCATAGCATATAGCATATAGCACAGAATAGCATGGCATATCGTGGCAAAGTATAGCATAGCATAGCGTAGCAGTGCATAGCATAGCCATGGCATATCATAGTAGGGGAGTTGTTCGCGTTGCATTACTTGCGCTCATGCAGTACATGGGCGTGCTAGTATGCGTAGATATCCCACACCCTCGCACCGCAGAAGCTCCGGAACGGCAACCGCACTTTGCGATACTGAGCGCATGCGCGAAGCGCCGCCACAGCCCCCACCCAGTGCGAACGAAACCTTCCATCGCGCGCCGCGCGCACGAAGTCATTCCGATCTGCGTCCAGCTGCGGCGACACAGGACGGGGGGCCTGAGCCTGGCTCCAAACGCCAACGAAAAAACCCTGAAAACCTAATCCTCCTCCTCTGCCTCCTCCTCCTCCTCCTCCTCCTCCTCCTCCTCCTCCTCCTCCTCCTTCTCTTCCTCCGCGCCCTGTCCCTCGGCCGGCCTCAGCCTCGGTCGGCTTCGGGCTCTGGCTTCGCTCGGCCCGGCGACCTCGACGAGCCCGCCTCGACGTGGACCGCCGCCGCCAGCCATGAGCAGGAGGAGAGGGGGTGATGGGGATGATGATGAGGGTGATGACGAAGGCATGGCGATGGCGTAGGCATCATCTCTTAACGTCGTCTGCAGCCTGGCAGCGTCGTGGGCACTATACATCAATCAAGACTTGCCCCTGCTGCTGGCGCGGCGTCGCGGGCAGGCGACTATGTACGTTGCAATATTTATGGTTTTTGATTTGCTCAAGAGCTCCTAGGTACCTACTTGGTGCTGCGGCCTCCTTGGCAGACGAGAGTGGACGAGTAGGCTTCTGCCATCAACCGACTGGCAGACTTCCGACGCGGGGCTGGACCGGCGGGGCGGTGGGCGCCCAGGCTGGGCCAGGGAGAGCGGCAGGTGGGGTTGGAGCGGGCGGGGGTTCTTGGGTTCTTGGTCTTCTGGGGTTCCATGGGGAGTGGAGCGAGGCAAGGACCGCGTCTGACCATGCTCGGCCTCAGCACGAGGCCCCTAACAGTAGGGCCTAAGCTTTGCACAGCAAAGCCACCTCTGCCCAGGAAAACCGCAACCTGGGCGCCGATGGCCGAGCAGCCAAACGCAAGCAAAACGTGGGGGCTAGTAGCTCGATTACTCACTTGTCACCGTCGGCATTAGACAAGTTCCAGGACTCCTCGCTGGGATGATCGCTGTCCAGCCCGGCGTCGTCTGCAGCATCCTCACCCTTCTTGGCCCTCTTGGGCTTCGGCTCAGCCAGGTCCCCCCCGTCGCCGCCCCCTGCGCCGGCGGCTGCCTTCTTTGCCCCCGCGCTGGCCTTCCGGGTGGCAGCCGCCTTCTCTGCCCTGGCCTTGAGCGCGGCGGCCTCGGCGGCGGCCTCGGCGTCGGCGACGCTGGCGCCCGGCGCCTGCCCGTTGAAGAAGGCGGCAGCCTCGAGAGAAGGAGGAGGAAGGGATGATGAGGAGGGGGGGAGGAGGAGGAAGAGGGGGAGGGAAGGAGAGGGGAAGGGGCAGGAGGGAGGGGGAGGGAGGGGGGAGGGAGAAGGAGGAGAGGAGAGATGGGAAAGAGGAGGGAGGTGAAGCTCGATGCTTTTCCTCAACCACCGCACTCTGCATCCTATCCCGCATCCTCCCTTTCCTTATCGCTCCCTGCTCCCCTCCTACTTCCCCGTATTCCTCATCCTCCTGCTGCTGCTCCTCCGCCTCACCCCCCCGGGGTCCTGCCCTCGAACCTTAGGGTTGTAGTGCAGGTGGCACTGCTCATTGACCATGCAGCGGAGGGCGGCCATCTTGAAGCGGTCCTGGAGAGCCTCGATGAGGGGAATTGCAGGAGGAGGAGGAGGAGGGGGAGGAGGAGGAGGAGGAGGAGGAGGAGGAGGGGGATGAAGACGAGGAACGAGAAGAGGAAGCATAGGAGACAGGGGAATGAAGGATTAGTGGGAGGAGGGGGGAGTGAGAAGTCAGGGAAGGAGGAGTGGGGGAATCCCCTTGCCCGTCACCTCGTTTCCTGGCCCCTCCTCCTCCCCCTCATCCTCCTCCTCCGTCCCATCCTCCTCCTTCATCATCCTCATGCCCTATCATCACCATCATCTCAATCCGAGGCCTCGGCGTGCAGCTCAGTGAAAGCCAGGCAGAAGTAGGTGATGCCCTCGTAGATGCACTCCTCGCCGCACGCGCCCGGGCCGGGCGAGATGTCGAACACGTGGGACGCGAAGTACCTGTGATTCAGCTCCGAGAAGGACTTCGGCGGCATCGCGTTCATGAAGACCATCTCCCAGTCGTCGTTCTCGCGCTTCTTGCCCTCGCCCTGGCCGGCGACCTTGCCGCCCACGGCGATCCGGTAGTCCTTGCCGTAGATGCATTTCTTGGTTGCGAAGGTGGCCTGCCACTCCTCGCTGGGCAAGGGCAGCACGACGGGGCCGATGATCGCGCCCTGATTGGTGCCCGATGATGGGTAGTGCTTCGAAGCACGCGGCGGCAGCTGCAAGGGGGCGGTCGAGCAAATGTGCAACTGGCTCGTCTGCTTGACGCAGGCCACTCCGCGCGTAAGCTTCTTGCGCTCCTTCATGCTGGCCTCGTCCTTGTAGACCGTGATCCCCCTGGATACGAAGCGGACGGCCTCCTCGTCGTCCTCATCATGATCATCAACCACGACGGCCTCATCATCGTCGGGGGCCTTCTTCTCAGATTTCTCGAGGATCGAACCAACCTTCCACGGTGCAAGCAGGGCCTTGGTGATGCCAGGCTTACCCCCGTCCATCAAGAATACCACCTCGCCGTCGTTCAAGGACGCCTTGTTGCCCCCCCTGCGCGAGCTTCCAGAACCGCTTGGACAATGCGCCTGCATGTGCTCCCCTTCAGCGCCCCGTCTACCCGCATCCCCTGGGCCAGGACATCGACGGCCCCAACGTCGTCGAGGCTGCATGGGGGGGGGTGGCGGCACTCGGCAGAGCGTCGGATCTCCCTTGGCCATCGCCATATTCGACGAGCGGATCTCCTGTTTCAGAATGTTCATGTTGCTCGGGATCACCTGGCGTAGGAGGAGGGCAAGGCACGTTGTGGGAGGGAGGTGGGGGAGGGCAGTCAGAGTAGGAACTCCTCATCCTCCTCCCCCTCGCCCCTCTCCTCCTCCTTCTCCTACACCGCCTCCTCCCGATCCAGGTTCGAAGCGACAAAAGGTCACCACGACGCGCGTCAGGGAGCGCGCTATCCGGTCTGCCATCTTCAGGTAGTCGAAGTACTCGGACTCCTGGTTGTTGTCGGTGGGCCTCTTGGCAAAGATGAACTCGTCGGCCTTGAAGCACTGGGTGGATGGCGTGGCAGCCGCCGCCGCACCGCCGTCGCTGCCGCCCGCCGTGGAAGAGGCAGCTGCGCCTGCAGCGCCGCCGCCTGCGCCAGGGGCCGTCTCGGTGGCAGCGATGGCTTGCTGCTGCTCCTGCTTGAGCTGCTCCTACGGGGAGTCGCAGCGGAGAAGGAGGAGCACAAGGACGAGGAGGCGGAGAAGGAGGGAGGGGAGAGACGGGAGGAGAGGATCGAGAGGGTAGGAAGAGGAGGAGGAGGAGAAGGAGGAGGAGGAGGAGGAGGAAGAAGGATGGCACAGGTAGAGGGAGCAGGCAGGAGGGGGAGGGCGAGGATGATGATAAACGGCAGCAGGGAGAGGAGGTGAAGGAGGGCGCCCCTTGTGATCGTTGACCTCCTCCTCGAACGACTGGTTATCCAAGAGCTCCTCCGGGGTCTTGTTGTACTTGGCCGCTTGCCTCAGCGACCCGTCGCACTCGCTGCCGTAGATGATTTTTTCCCACAGGGTCACCGCCATGCGGAACGACTTGGGGCGCTTCTTGCCTTCGCCGTCGACGAACAGGAACGAATTGTCGTTGGGCTGCTCGCCGGGGTAGTTGGTGAACGCCGAACGGAACGAAACGTGCGATGCAAACGTCTTGCGGCAGAATGCGATTTCTTCAGGTGTGAACGCAGCGGCGTGCGCCCAGCGGTTCAAGAAGTAGTCAAGGCACCGCAACTTCATATTGGCCAAATCGCAGCCCCACATGTTGAGCTTCGTCCCCGAGCAATCTGACAGCTCTATATGGCCCATCCTCAGGGCGTCGAGCGCCCAGTTGTAGAACCATTCGATGTTGTGCTCAGTCTTGCAGCGGTTCATCACGACCTGGAACTTATAGATAGCGCCGGTTGGCCCGCCGTTGTTCTTGTAGAGCGAGTCGAGCCTCAGCACCGCGTTGCTGACCGCCTTGTTGGCCAAGATCCGGTCCTTCACAGACATGGCCGCGTCAATGAATGACGCAGAGAGCTTTTCACTTTTCTGCGCCAGCTTGACCTTCAGCAGGAAATGCTCTTCCATCTGACTGACGCTGGGGCCCTTCTTGTTCGAGCTCGCGTTCTTGACCGCCCACGTCTCCCGAATAACCATCTGCACCTTCTGGAGGGTTGTCCAGCTCGCGGCGAATGCCTCGCCCTTGGTGTCCTCGCGGAGGGTGAAGCTGTGCGTCGACACGTCGGCAGGGTTCAGGCGCCAAACATCCACGGGGCAGTTGACGAACAGCTTGAGCCACTCGCGGGCGCGAGCGTCGGTCATGGTCTTTTGCTGAATCTCGACGAAGCACTGCTTGATCGGCGCGTGGAGCTTCTCCAGCGGGGAGACCACGTGCAAGGCCCGCGTCGTGCCCCAATTGTCCTCGGGCGGGTCTTAGCCAGAAAAAAACAACTCCTCCTCCTTCCCCTCCTCCTCCTCCTCGCCCTCATCCTCACCCCCCCCCATCCCCCCACGAAAGGGCAGCAGGGCTGGGGAACGAGGGGTGGCAGGCTGGAGGAGGGGGAACGAATGAGTGCTTAAGTGGCCCTTTGGTTTTGGGGTGAGCAAGTCTGTTTCAAATTCTAGGCCCCCGCCGGTCCGTGTCGAGATCAGTCTGGGCAATTGCCATGGTCCTGAGCTTCTGAGGGGGCCGCCCCCCAGCAGGGTAGTCGCGGGCCCGCAGCCGGCCCACGTCGCCCTCGTCGACCATCACCCCAGGGGTCGGGGTAGCGAGCGGGTTCATCCAGAAGAACGGGATGGCGCCGGCAGCGACGATGATCGGATCGTCGACCGTCTCGGAGGAGCCCTCCAGCTTGTTCTTGAGGGCGTCAATGCTCAGGGGAGTCGCGACGGGGCCGTCTTGCGGGCAATTCGGGTCCAAGTCGCGAGACTTGAGGCCGCTCGTCTGCATCGCGTTCTTGAGGATGTCGTGAGACAAGATGGCCTCGAGCCAGGTCTGGAGCTTCTGGCTGTACTCTCCGCTGAGCCCGATCAGCTCAGCTTGGGGCAGCCCAGCAGAGCTGGATGCCGCCAAGGCGTCACAGGCTTGGTCAGCGGGCGGCGTCGTCTTCTTCTGAGTTCGCCTCTTGGGCGCGGTCGGGGCCCTGCATCCCTTGCCTCCACTGCCTCCGCCCATCCTGTCGGGATGCCTGTCGAACGAGTGATTGGAAACAAAACAGATTGTCGTGAGTCGACAGCAGAGCTCGAACCAAAACGGCTATGGGGGGAGGCGAGGGGAGAGACCTGGGGGCGGAGAGATAGCAAGGGAAGGGGGGAGGGCGTGAGAGAGGGGGGAAGGGAAAGGGATGGGGGATGGGGCAGAGCAGAAGTTGGCGAGCTTGCTCTGAGACTGAAGCTGTGCAGAGGCAGAGTCTCGCTCAGTCCGTTCTCGCTGTGAGGGCCTGCGCTGGGCGTGCAGGCGCAGCTCTCGCCCGTCTCAGATACACCCCCCTCAGGCTCTCCCGAGGTTGCAGTTTGGGGGGGGGCCTCGAGCAGAATTGTTTACCATGTGGTGACGATGCACGACGACGGTGATGATGGTGGCGATGATGGTAATGCTGGCGATGATGATGGCGATAATGAGGATGGTGATGATGATGATGATGCTGATGATGATGCTGATGATGATGATGATGATGGTGATGGTGATGATGATGATGATGGTGATGATGATGCAACCAGAACTCTCACGTGTCAGCTCACGTGGGTCGCCACTGGAACCCCACAAACAGCAGCGCTAGTTGCACCTAGAAATCACCGATGCACTCTGCTTCGCTGGCTTGTAATTGTCCACCAAGCGGCGCGAGACTAAACCTGACGAGAACAGTGCGACGCGGAGAACCCGCTCCACCATGTTGATTGGGATAGAGTTGCCCAACATGAAACCCATCTGGCTCGGGCTCACACTCTCGACGCCACCCTTGATCATCTCGCGCAGGTTAGCATCGATGCCCGTGAGTTCGAAGAGCTCGGACAAGTACACCCTGCGCCCCCGGAGCGAACACCAGTAGTCCCGCGACTGAGCCCGATTCTTCGTGATGCAAGGGAACAGGCCACGCTCTGTCAGCTTGACGCTGACGTTGCAGCGGTTCGTAGAACACCCGATGTCGGATATGGCCATGACCTTGGCAGGGTTCACCTTGTTCTCAAGGTGCTCGACGTACTTGCGTTTCACGTTCTGCCTGCGACGCATCGCTGCCTTGCCCTCCTCTTTCGGTGGGAAGTTCTTTGGGTTATCATGAGGTGATGCCCCGATGATCTCGTCAAGCTTCCGCTTCAAAGGCACTGGCTTAGGCCACTTGAAAGGGTGCTTCCACTCCCCATGACAGGCGATCAGGAAAAGGCGCGCCCTGTGCTGAGGGATGCCATGCTGCCAGCAACGCACGATCTTCATCTCCAGCTTGTAGTTCAGCGCCTTCAGCTTATTCCTGATGGCGGTCACGATCCACTTGTGCTGGTCCGACACGACGTTCGGGACCATTTCATACGCGACCAGCTGTGGAAGGTTTTTCTCGATATACTCGAGGCACGGCTTGAACATAGTGTCCCGAGCGTCGACCCCCTCAGCCCGTGACCCTGACCCCTCGGGGGAGATGGACGTGCAGGGCGGCGAAAAGCGATAGAAGTCCACATGAGGAACATCTTGGGTTGCACGGGTTAGAATATCATCATACCAGTTGTCAGGAGGCATCGCGCTCATTTGAAATTTCTGCATGGGGAACTTTATCGCAATCAAAGATATGCTGCATAGGGGCATGCATGCTCTTGAGAGCAAGCACAGGTGCATTGAGGCCTGTGAAATCGGTGCCAACCCGCAGCCCTTTCCCCATAGCTGCTAACACCAAGCTTGCCAAAATATGTCAAATGGCGGCTGCGCGCCGCTGCTTGACATTGAGAGAACAAACAGCTACTGACACGAATGCGACGACGATGAAAAGAGATGCCGCGATGTTGAGAGCAGCGGGGCGCCCACCCCGCCCGACTCAACGTTCGATGACGTCGCTGGACGTTGAGCGGGGCGCCCATGACATGCCTCAAGAGACCCTTGGATGTTGAGAGCGGTGGATGATGACTTCATGTGCATCATGATCCGGGCCCCTCAACGTTCGATGACGTCGTCGAGCGCTGAGCGCCCTGGGGCGGGCACCCCGCCGCCCTCAACATCGAAACCTCACCTTAGCAACGCCGACTCAGCCCTTAGGCGATCGGTGACCAGGTGCCGACCTGGCTCGCTCAACGTTCGGCGACGTCGCCGATCCGGCCCTCAACGTTCGGCGAAGCCCCCGAGCCTGCTCCCGAAGCCGACGATCCTTGTCTCAACGTTCGGTGACGTCGCCGACCCAGCCCTCTCAACGTTCGGTGAAGCCCCCGATCCAGCAGCCGGCCCTCTCAACGTTCGGTGACGTCGCCGATCCGGCCCTCTCAACGTTCGGTGAAGCCCCCGAGTCAGCAACCAGGCCCTCTCAACGTTCGGTGACGTCGCCGATCCGGCCCTCTCAACGTTCGGTGAAGCCCCCGGGCCCTCTCAACGTTCGGTGACGTCGCCGATCCGGCCCTCTCAACGTTCGGTGAAGCCACCGACCCTGCCCTCAACGTTCGGTGACGTCTCCGATCCGGCCCTCTCAACGTTCGGTGAAGCCCCCTGGGCCCTCTCAACGTTCGGTGACGTCGCCGATCCGGCCCTCTCAACGTTCGGTGACGCCACCGACCCTGCTCTCAACGTTCGGTGACGTCGCCGATCCGGCCCTCTCAACGTCCGGTGCAGTCCCGACGAGACGACATCAACCTGACAACGGCGACGGCGACGACGGACGGTCTCTAATGTCGTCCCCGCCCCTCCTTCGCCTCCTCCTCTTCTATGTTGGCTTGGAAGACAAGAGAGGGGCCCAAACTCCAACCTCCTCCTCGTTATCCTCCTCATCCTTATTATCCCTCCTCCTCCTCCTCATCATCATCATCATCCGTCTCCCTCCTCATCCTCCTCCTGCCTGGGGCTCCTCTAATTCCATCGTGAACGAAGGGCCTGCCCTGCTCCCCCCAGCCCGCAGGCGATGGAGAGGGCCCTCGATGTCAACGGGAGCAAGGCAGCTGGCCTACGAAGGATGACGGAGTGGAAGCAGATGACGATGAGGAAGCGGAGGATGAACCTGACTGAGGAGGACGAGGATAGGTTATCAACACACTCAAACCCCATGAGCATTCTGATCAATCACTCGTGCATGCGCATTGGCCGCATGCCTGGCACGCGTGAGACCCCCCCCTTCGTTTGCCCCAATGTCGTCCCATGTCATATACAAGCACAAACTTGCCAGGCACGGGCGTTGGAAACGGGCGGTGCAGTTCCCCACGTTCTGCACGTAGCATTACTATGCAGCAGCATACCCAACACACACTCACGCTATAGCTGCGCCCGTCTACCAAGCACAGTCCAATGCCGAAACGGTGCGGAGAATACCTAGAAATCTAACACGCGGCCAGCGCCGAAACGAGACTCCTGGTGAGACGCTGTCAACACCGTCTTAAACAACTCAGGACCTGTGACGACCCTCTCACCTGAGAAGTGATCTGGGTGGTCGCGCTTGTCGGCGGCAGTGACCAAGGCCCAGGTGTCCTTACGCATATGTGTCGCATTGTACACAGCAAAATCAATGATTCGAAACTTGCCCGCGCCCCCATGCTCAATGCAATTCCTAATGACGGCGTGCTTGTCTGGGTTCCTCTCCCTAAAGTCTGCTGATACATATAACCTTCGTTGGAGTCGCAGTCCTCGAAGAAAGCGAATGCAGGGACCGTCTGCGCCCTCGAGCGCGCGCACAGACATGACCAGACCCCCACGAAGAACAGCAGCCCAAGACCTGCTTCGGCAGTGATGGGGATGGTGAGACTGCTCAACTCCCTGCCCCTATGGGCCACCCTACACTCAAAAACAAAACAACATAAAACCTTGGGCCTTGTTTTTTTTTTTTTTCAAGGCTCCAGGTGGGCCTGTCGCTGGATGGAGCAATCTTGCCCGGGTCGAAGACCACGAAGACATCGGCCTCGTAACACTGGAGCGTGCGCACCATGCCCCATCTGCCCAGAAATGGAGCACACCTCTCTGCGACGCCATTATCCAAGAAACACTTAGACCCCCTCAGAGACTCAGCCGTCGGAACTTCCCCGCCAATTGCTTTGCTCAGGACGCGGATCTCTGCCTTGGTGCGGTTGTCTGCTCTCGCCTCAAGGGGGGCCCATGGCGCCTGATGCCCCCCCCCCCCCCCGCCCTGCCACCGGCGGCCCCTGGACCCATGGGAATTGGATGACGGGCCCCCGAAGCGACGAGGAGAGGAAGGATGATGAGGATAAGGGGGAGGAGGAGGAGCACGAGGAGGAGTGAGGAGGAGGAAGAAGAGGAGGAGGAGGAGGAAGAAGAAGAGGAGGAGGGGAAGGGGGATGGGGGATCCAGGGATGGGGGGGGGGGCTGTTTGGGGGCGCGGGGTGGGTTCACAAGACAGGACCTGGGCGGTTATGCATGCCCCCCGCGGGCGACGCCTGCTCGCTGGCAGCCGCCTCCCTCATCTGCTCCTGCAGCTCGTCGGTGCACTCGTCTCTCGTCAGGAGGCCATCCCTTTCAGCATCTACCAGACGCCTGGCCCTCTTGTTCTGTGCCCACGTGGTTTCCTCCTCATGCGCTGCCCCCCAATTATGCACGCGCATATCCCCGATAAGAGTATCGATGGGGCGGTCCATGGTGGCGGCGCTTGAAGCGCTGGGGCCATGAAGACGACGGGCCTTGAGAAATGCTAGCTCTGTGCCTTCCCGGGGCCCTCGAACTACGCCTTTGTCAGCCCGCCCCACCCGATCTGCCGTTGACCTTGCAGTCCCGAGCATGCGGTCCCACATCTTCTGTGCCAGTGCAATCAGCGCGTCTTCTGGGTCGCGAGAGCAATCGCATTTGACCTTCCAATAAGCCCACTCGACCTCTCCGCCACAGTGGTCTTGTTTGACACCAACAGCATCCATGCCTTTTGTGAGCGTTTGTTCGACCCCCGAGCTCGACGCCACAAACACGAGCCAATCCGCTGTCCCTAGAAGGGCTCCATGGCATGCCATCGCGACTCCTTCCCCCCCTCTCTCATCCCAAGCCCAAGGCCCCCCAGCCGGGCTCTGGCAGGCTTTCGAGTCCATCGAGCACGTCGACCACCCCTTCAGTATGGACGTCGAGGCTCTGCTATCCATGGGGGGCAGAGGGCGACAGGGGCGGGGGATGACGGGGGGAACCAGGACGAGGCAGATGCGGAGGCAGAGGATGAGGCGGCGGAGGAGGAGGAGGATGCGGCAGAGGCGGAGGCGGAGGAGAGAGGCGGAGTTCGAAGGTAGGAGGGTGGGCGACGACGAGCAAGAGGAGGATTCCGACGCAAATGAACATGTGCAGTCGGGGTTCGCGGGCCAGGCAAAGCCACAGTATCAGATACTATGTCCCACACAGATTCATATTCTATTTGCATCCGGGAGCTTCGAATGCGTGACAAAACATTAACCCATGCTGTTTTATCGTCACAGTTGTTTGATCTTGCTTCTGCAATCACCAAAGGTTTGATACGAATGATATCCTGTTCCAAGCGGGTCTGATCGACATCGGATAACTTGCTGAGCCTTTCACAATATGTGCGAATGTTTGCAGATTGTCGGTTTACAAGCGCATTGTTGGTATTGAATATGCTAAATGCTTGAGAAATCTCAGAAAGTCTGGGAACTCTGCGCGCACCTCTTCGCGCGCTAGCTGTACCCAGCTCCGCATAACGTCAAAGCAATCGTCCAGGTCGGCAGCTGACGGGGTACCAAGAGAAACAGGCTTGCCATTGATGATCCACACCAGCGGCTCCTCCAAGAACTTCATCATCGTCTGCGTGTATCCGGGCGATGTCAGAGCGCCACGAGATGGTCCAAACAGGTCGTAGATCCTGACCAAGAATACTTGTATCTGCGTTGCCAACTCAGAGACATCGAACTCTTCCGAATCGAACGCACGAATGATGAGCATTGCCTCATCTGCAGCATCTGCCAACAGTGCACACATCAAAGGTCGTCGAGGAGATTGTCCAACCCAGTCTAGCCATAACTTTGCTCGCTGCTGAGGTTCGCCTGTCCGTTTACATGCAATGCGAACCATGAGACTGTGGGCAGCCAAAAAATGCCGGCATGTTCTACCTAACGGTTTTTGCAGTGATTCAAACCTATGTTTCGCCGCCCGCAAATTATTGCAATGTGCTTTTTGGTCGGGGCTTAAGCGGGCCAGGACGACGGCAAACTCTTGTCGCAAGTCGGGGCTCCTCTGAATAAGCTGGGCCGGAGAACAATGCACAACACTGGGTCCGACGCCCATGGCCTCGTGAGGATTCTTCTGCCGGCATGGGCTTTACACAACGGGCAAGCTTTAACGTTGGGCGTGAGTGGGGCCAACAATGGGACCAATTGTCTTCTCTGCAATATCGCTGCGAGAACCTCATCAGACGCGCTATCTTGAACAATGAATTTACATATCTTGCGTAACTTGTTATT